CAACCTCTGCCTCCCAGGTTCAAGTGATTCTCCTGCCTCACCCTTCAGAGCAGCTTGATTACAGGCACTCACCACCACGTCCAGCTAATTTCTTTTTATGATTTTAGTAGAGACGGGGTTTCACCTTGAATGCTTGACCTCAGGTGATTCGCCTGCCTCGGCCTCCCAAAGTGCTGGGATTACAGGCGTGAGTCATCACACCCGGCCATCAAGCTGGATAATACTAAGGTCTGTTTCTTTCCCAATGTAGGGTATAGGTTGGGACAGGGAAGAGGGCTAGAAACCTGACTCCAACTCCCTGCCCAGGGCTGAACTCTCCAGCCTCCTGATCACTTCTCATTCAACCTTGCTTGTACTCCCCCTATGATGGGGGGCTCATTACCTCACAACAGAATATTCTAAGCAAACCCCTACCCACTCTTACCAAGGAAGATTTCCCATTTGAACCCCAGTTCTCAGATACTTAAAGGCCTTCTGTGGACCACGTTCTCAAGGTCCCCTGGCCATCTGTTTGCATGTTCCAGTTTCTCTCCTTCCCCATCCACATAATGAAATGTGCCCTCCCTCTCTCCAGGATGAGCAAGGTGGTGTCCTCTGAGACTGGGCAGTCAGCCACTTAATACCAAAGGCCACCAATGATCAAATCCACGAGAGTTGATTCGAAGACTTATGTATTAGGACTGAGAAACAGTAAACACTCAGTAAATAGTGGTTATTCTTATCATCAGCATCATAATTACTACCTTCAAGTTCCTCCAGGAGAACTCCTATTCAACCTTCAAAACCCCATGTGGTTTCACCCATCTTGCAGAGATTGAGCTCCAATTCAGAGAGTTGTGATTTTGTGATCATTTGATGAGTTCCCAAACTGGGGTCCTTAGAGCAGCTGGCCCATCCCTAAGGTCTCTCAGCATCCAGTTCTGTTCTTTTTCTGCCTTACCAGTTCCTGTGTATAAGCCTCAGTCCTGGTGAGTCCAGCTGAGGAGTGTACAGACACACACAGTGTCAATTCAAATCTATCGCCAGCCCACACGGCCCTAGGCATCAGAGGTCAATGCCCGCACATAGGATTGCTTGGCCTTGCACTCAGACAACCAGTGCCTTTGGTCCATACCCTGGCAGCCCCCTCCACCTGTCCCCGGTTCACCTTCCTCAGAGTTATGGGCCTCAAAGCGGGTGACAAAGAAGTACTGGCAGAGGGAATTGCCCCCAGCTATAGGCACCTTCCCGAACACCTCCATCTCGAAACCACCCAAGTCCACAGCGGTCCCGGGGTCTGTCACCCAGCCGCTGACTGCATCGCACACGGCCAGTTCACTCTGATGACTCGCCAGTGCAGTTGCACTTGCCCCACACTGGCTGTGGTTGGCCGGGGTGCCTGCTAACTCCCGAAAGGCCCCAGTCTCCAGCAGGAAGACCAGAGGGGGCTCAAGAGCAGCACCCCTAGACAGGACCACTTGGGGGAAAAGAAGGTCCCACTTTGGGGCAAGAAAAGGAGACAATGTCCAGGATGGGGATTAGGAATCCATTGACACACTAGGGAGGAGGAAAATGAGGGGGATGCGGAGGGAGTCTGGGGGAGGGGGAGCAGCTCTCACAGCACAGGGAGACAGAGTAAGGGAGGCTGGGATTAGAGAAGAGGATAAAAACTTCAGTGGGGACAGAAGTTGGGAACCCCAGGGGAGGCTTGCCTGCCAGGATTGTGGGGCAGCCCTTGCTGTAGAAGTTTGGAGGACTCTATATATCGGACTTGCATAACGCCCAACTTGTAGATTAATAGTAATTATTCAACTACTACAAGTCAGGCACTGTGCCTCACACCTGTAATCCCAGCACTTTGGGAGGCTGAGGTGGGTGGATCACTTGAGGTCAGGAGTTTAAGAGCAGCCTGGCTAACATGGTGAAACCCCATCTCTACTAATAATACCAAAATTAGCTGGGCGTGGTGCTACGCACCTGTAATCCCAGCTTCTTGGGAGGCTGAGGCAGGAGAATCGCTTGAACCTGGGAGGCGGAGATGGCAGTGAGCCGAGATCGTGCCACGGCCCTCCCACCTGGAAAACAGAGTGACACTCTGTCCAAAAATAAAAATAAGGCTGGGCGTGGTGGCTCATGAGTGTAATCTCAGCATTGTTGGAAGCTGAGGTGGGCAGATCAACTGAGGTGAGGTGTTCCAGGCCACCCTGACCAACATGGAGAAACCCCATGTCTACTAAAAATACAAAATATGCCCAGTAGTGGTGGTGCATACCTATAATCCCAGCTACTTGGGAGGTTGAGGCAGGAGAATCACTTGAACCCAGGAGGCGGAAGTCGCAGTGAGCCAAGATCGTGCCACTGGACTCCAGCCTGGGCAACAAGAACGAAGCTCCATCTCAAAAGAATAATAAGCATCAAATAAAAATAAAAAATATTCAACTACTGTTACTTAATAGCAACAGATCGTGAAATACAGGCTCAGAGAAATTAATGATTTGTGTCCGGTCACACAGTCAACAAATGTAAGAGATGGGACTTAAAGTCTGGGTAACTGCATTCTGCCATCCTTCCTGTACAACTCTGAGGAACCGTGAGTCTTGCATCTTGGGGGATGTTCCAATCAATTATTATTATTAGTTTTTGAGACAGAGTCTCACTCTGTTGGCCAGGCTGGAGTGCAGTGGCACAACCCTGGCTCACTGCAACATCTGCCTCCTGGGTTGAAGTGATTCTCCTGCCTCAGCCTTCTGAATAGCTGGGATTACAAACACCTGCCACCATGCCCAGCTAATTTTTATATTTTTAGTAGAGATGGGGTTTCACCACGTTGTTCAGACTGGTCTCAAACTCCCAACCTCAAGCTATACCCCTGCCTTGGCCTCCCAAACGGCTGGAATTACAGGTGTGAGCCACCACGCCCGGCCCGAAACAAATTGTTTTAAGACCAGGTCTCGCTATATTTCCCCACTGCACTTGAACCGCTGGGCTCAAGCAATCCTCCTGTTGTGGCTCCTGAGTAGCTGGGACTACAGACTCAAGCCACCACGCCTGGCCACATTCCACAATTTGGAGAAAGGCCACAACCTGGAATCCTAGGGAGACCCCAGTTCACCTCAAAACTGCCACTAAGGAGGTAAAACGCTGCCCCTCTGAGACAGGTGTCAGTTTTCCCGTGTGTGAAATTGACCTGGCGCTGGGAGAGGCTGGTGGAGGCGTGGATGTTGCAGTTTCTCTGCAACATTCTGGAAGCCTGCGGTTCTAGGAAAGGGTGGCCTGGAGAAGACTGGAAAACAGCCAATGGTTACCAGACCTGTCAGCACCTCTTCCACCTCGGAGCTCTGGGGCTGGGAGTCCCCAGGCTTTGGGGGGCCCCTGTGGAGGACATCGCTGTCTCCTTCCTGACATACCAGGAGAGGGAGGGGGCAACCACCTAGGGGAAGAAAAGATCAGGCAGGGTATACAGGCAGGTGGGGAAGGGGGACAAATCGCTGAACAAGTGCAGGGTACTGAAGAGTCAAGGCACCGCCCCCTTTCCAGTGGCCCCTTTTCTACCCAGGTGATGGCTCCTGACTGGGATTGGAAGATGATGGAGGGAGGGGAGGGGAGAGGAGGGGAAGGGAGAGGCAGTGGATGAAGCAGAATGGAAGAGATGACATCCACCTCACACCATTCATCCCATTCAGGTCCCCACCCCCCAGCTGTACTGCCTGTGCCCTGTCTCTTATACACATCTAGATGTGTATAAGAGACAGGGAGAGGAGGGGAAGGGAGAGGCAGTGGATGAAGCAGAATGGAAGAGATGACATCCACCTCACACCATTCATCCCATTCAGGTCCCCACCCCCCAGCTGTACTGCCTGTGCCACCCTCAGAGGGAGGAAGAGGGAGCTCGGCCTTGAAGACTCAGGCCCTGCCCCATGGGGGCACAATGACCATGTGACCTTCCTTCTCCCCACAGAAGGTGAGACCATGGACACCTCCTGAGCTGGATGTCATCCCCTGTCCCCACCCTGTTTTCTTTTTGTTGTTGTTGAGATGGAGTCTCACTCTGTGGACCAAGCTGGATTGCAGTGGCACCATCTCGGCTCACTGCA